ATGCGACCTGCGGAACACTCCAGTGGTTAAGACGGCAAACTTCATGTAATGTGTTTTTCATCACAATAAAAAAAAATGATATAAAGGGTTTTTTTGTAAATCAATATAAAACTTCAAAAGAAATGCCATCTAAATTTGTATCTGACAACAAAAAGACTGGAACTAAGCTACTTGGGAAAATAAAAATAATTATGTAAGAACATACACTTAAATTACTACACCTAAAGGATAAAAATATTTTCCTAGGGAAAAATTAGACCCCCAATATAGAGCAAGATAACATTCCCAAAGCATCTTACTATGCAATCAAATTTAAAGCATTACACCGAGTAGAATAAATCAGAGGTTAGATTTTTGTATTGAGCAATCAGTAAGGTTTTTTTGTTTTGGTTTTGGTTTTTGGTTTTTGGTTTGAGATTTTTGCTGTAGGGCACATGCGCTCACTGGAGAGAGAGAGACAGAAAGCAAGAAATCACTCCCAGGGGTGATGGCTATATTACGATCTCTTCTTCCTCATCCTCTTCATTCTCCTCTCAGGTTCTGGGCACACACACACATTCACTTGGTGTGAATTTCAAGTCACTGCGTCTGGAACTTGAATCACGGTCAGTCACGTGGGAGCCCAGCGCCCTAGACACTGCAATACGTGCCGGCCCCACAAGTTATTTCTTAAGGGGGAGAAAGTAAAGACAATCTAAAGCTTCACCTTATTTATAAATTAAGTTTAAAAGGAATACGCCTTATGATATTTATTAAGTAAAAATAAAGAAGAAATTTAAGATAATTTTTAAATGACATAATAAACTGTAAATGCTATAAAACTGGGCAGAATAAAGGTGAAATTTTGTGTATTGGGTCATCAGAAAAGTCATGATGCATTTTTGCATGGAAAAATATGTCATGACTTTTCTGACAACCCAATATCATGCAATATAAACTCATCAATATTAGTTTTAAAAATAGGCAGAAACAGAAAATATTCCAAATTGCTAACAGGACTGTGTCTAGAATACTGTCCAGAGTTACTGTTTTTGATGTCTGCTTCTACCCTTTGTTTCATTTTGCCTCTGTTTTCAATAAAAAGTCATAATTCATAGACTCCAAAACAGTTCACTGAAGAAAAGTAGCTTCTTATAAGCTTCATAGTTTAATTACTACATTGGTGTCTACTGCCATAACTGAATGAAAGAGTTCTGGAAATGTAAGTTAACCAGAAAGACTAGGTGACTTTAAAGCTCGTGCCTCCCTACCAGAACAAGACCTGGCACTGGCTGGACACTGAATAACCAAGAGGCAACGTGGACACTCTGAATTCCTGAGGACAGAGAAGTCAGAGGTAGAATATGGCAATCAAAAAGCATCTGGACCAGGCCACTTTGCCAGTGAATTGATGGCACAGGCATGATACTGAAAATGTTTCCCTTGCTAGTTTTACGAGCAGGAAGCCCAGACGTCTCGCAGATAAGGCCACACGGAACCGAAGGGATCCACAGGTGTCCACTTGATCTACCGTTACGCTGTCACCCCGCCAAGTACCTTATCAGTAGTCTCTAAATAGCTGCAGATCTGGGTAAGAAAAAAACAGAAATGAGATAAAAAGCACACCACTAATGTAAGCTTTAATTTTGTAATGAAACTCTGTTTTTGTCTTTCTGTCACCTCATTTTGTCAATAAATATTTGTGGAAAAGTTATTCAGCTAAAGTATTAGACATGGCAAATTTATAGGGAAAATGACCATGAGTAAAGGCATGGTCCCTGACTTTGAAAGGTCTGCATGTGTACACCCCGGTACCACACAGCTTTATCAGTTAAGCCAGATACGAGGGGACTTCAAGTAGTTTCTGGTAAAATGGAATTAAAGTACACGTTTATAGTGGTACAAAAAAAAATGAAATCCATACCTAGACTTCAGAATCTGTGTTTTCCATGAACTTTTCCAAGACCCTTACCTCATCCAACCCCTTCCTATAGTCATCAAAGGAAAACGCAGACAGTGTTCTCGTGTGATGAGTTCAATCTCATCATCTACTGTCTCTCACTTATTTTTTAGAAAGATGAACAATTAGAATGCATTTCTCACAAAGCACAGTAGAATGTGCAAGGTCAAATACATAAAGCTCTCATAGGTACACAGAGATGCACCTTGGGAATGGCAGCCACCCGTGGGACTGCACGACACAGCCCTCTTTTAATGTGACAGCTGGGACGTTTTATTCCTGACGCTCTTTTAAAAATTCACCTCTAAAATTCAACTAGGGATTTATTCCTAGTTATGACCAAGGAAGAGTTTCCTTGATTTCTAAATGTTTTGCTCTTTTGGCAAATAGCATTTGAATTTAAACTGTATGTTAATTTGTTTTTATACCCAGGCTTTGTTTTTATACCTATGCACACGCACCCTACATAAATACATATGCATGCATATCGGTGTGTGCATACATGTGCACATGTGTGTGTGTTCCAGTGTTGTCCTCGAGGTTCGATCTGTCGGTGTGTGCATACATGTGCACATGTGTGTGTTCCTGTGTTGTCCTCGAGGTTCGATCTGATACTTACCAGAAACTGTACAACCACCTGTAGCGGACATTATCATCCCCATTGTCAGCACGGGGAAACCATGGCACAGAGACACTGCACCACCTGGTCCAAAGTCCTGCAGCTTTCTAATGGGAGAGCCAGGATCTGCACTCAGGCAGGCTGACTCAAAAGCCCCACCTCTTAGCCACCATGTTACGGTGCCTATGGAAGGGGATAAGGACACGGAAGTGACAAGATCAGCTCTTAGGTTTCTGGTTTGTGCAGCTTGGGAACTAATGGTGCTATTATTCCTTAGCTGAATGAATGGATGGGTGGATGAATAGGTCTAGTGTGAAAGGTAAAAGGAGAGGAATTGAATTTAGATTGGCTTGAAAACGTCGTCAGATTTCTGGTCTACATGGAACTCAGAGCATGCAATACAGCAGATAGCAAGCTTCCAGACGTGAGTAGGAGATGTGACCGGGGATACAGCCGTATGCCCCATGTTCAAGAAGCCTACCGTGTCATGTGTGTGAGGGTATGCACCTTCCCATCCAGGAAAGCCACAGGTGACCCCATTCCTGCACCTGCTGCACGAGGTGACCTTTGGATGGTGACCCTGGTCCTTACCGAGTCCATCGGCCCTTTCCTGGGCAGCAACTCCTGGCCTCCCCAGCCTCATTTAACTCCTGGCCAATGGCCTAACTCCAACTTGATTTGATCTCACGAGAGTGACAGATGCTGTAAGTGTCATGTCGGCTTCCTTCAGCACATCAAAGAGCAGGCCAGGTGGAAATCCATGGTGTTGTCTCGCTATGCTCTGCTTACCTCTGTGACGCCCCCCCCCCCAGTCCGGGGTGGCACATAAAGGAGGGGCCCGGTCCTACCACCGAGCACCTCAGCATGCAGGACAGCACCTGCGCGTGGCACAGGCTGACTAAGTGCATAGTTTACGTTTGCTGCAGGCCACGTGTGCTAACCAGAGAGACGGGGCAGGTGAAAAAACACCCCCAGGGGATGGCCATGCCATGTCTTCTCCCCTACTCTTCTCTTGGGAATCTGGGCATGCATGTCTCAAAATGCTGGATCCAGTGCTCAAACCATGCAGTAGACCATGTGGGATCTAGTTGCTCTAACCACCATGCCACTAGTTGTCCCTCAATAAATATTTTAATAAATGAATGAAGAAATCAAGTCAAAGAGGCCAAATAATTATTTATTTATTTGGAGATGTTTTTGCTATAGGGCGCATGTGCTCGCCGGAGAGACTGAGACAGAGAAACAGAAAGCGAGAAATCACCCCCCAGGGGGGGATGGCCACGCCGCAATCCCTTCTCCTCCATTCTCCTCTCGGGATCTTGGGCATACATGCACACATGCCTGGTGTGAGTTTAAGCTACCGGGTCCGGGACTTGAACTGCAGTCGACTACATGGGAGTTCAGCGATATAGTCATTATGCTAACTGCTGGTCCCCCAAATAATTATTTTTAAATAACTGTGTATTTCTGCACTGATGTGTGATATCAAAGATCAGACCATCAGGGTTTGTATCCTGTTTCCCCATATTTAAAATATCCTGTCCTGCCATATTCAAGATATGTTTCTCTGGGAAGCAGCAGATGGCATGATGGTTATATCACTGGACCTCCATGTAGTCAACCGCAGTTTAAGTCCAAGACC